ATCCTAGAACAGAAAAAGGACATAGGTAATTAGTAAGGTACTCTTAATAAAGTACTAATGTATTGGTTCATTAATTATGACAAATGTACCAAACTAAAGTAAGATGTTAATAATAGGGAAAACTGGGTGTGGGGATATGGAATCTCGTACTCTCTTTGTAATGTTTCTGTAAGTCCAAAGCTACTCTAAAATAAAAAGTTTAAAAAAAGCAATCAGTGTAGTTTGCCATATTAACACTGAAGAAGAAAAGCCACAGGCACATCTCAATATATGTGGACAGAACAATTGATAAAATTCATCATCCAATAACAGTAAAAATGTCCAGTATATTAGGAATAGAAGAGAACTTCCTTAACCTGATACAGGGCATTGAAACAGACTTCCAGCTAACATCATACTTCATGATGAAAGAATTCATGCTTTCCTGCTAACACCAGGAAGAAAGCAAGGATGACCTCACCACTTTTACAACATTGTACTGGAATTTATAGCTAGTGCAATAGGATAAGAAGACATAAAAGGCATACAAGTAAGAAAAGAAGAAAGAAAAACAATGTCTACTTGCAGAGGACAGGTTTGCCCATGTAGAAAATTACATGGAACCCATAAAAAAAAAGTTCAAGGAGCACCTGGGTAGCTCAGTCAGTTAAGCATCTGACTCTTGATTTTGGTTCAGGTCATGATCTCATGGTTCATGAGAAGGGGCCCCGTGTTGGGCTCTGCGCTGACAGTGCAAAGCCTGCTTGGGATTCTCTCTCTCCCTCTCTCTCTGCCTGTCCACTCTTCAAATTCTCTCTCTCTCCTTAAATAAATATTTTAAAAAGCTCAAAATATAAGAAGATTACAAGATACAAAGTGATCACACAAAATCAAATGTATTTTAGGTACTAGAAATGACCTACTGGAATTTGAAATTATATATGCTATAGCTATATATATATACATATATAATATAGTAATTAAAGATAATGAATGTATATAATATACAATTTAGTGCTTTTGAAAATTACAGGTGTAGAGGAGCCTGCCTGGCTCAGTTGGTGGAGCATGTGACTCTTGATGTTGGGGTTGTGAGTTTGAGCCCCACATTGGGTGGTATAGAGATTGTTTAAAAATAAAATATTCCCAAAAAACATAATCCAGTGAAGAAATGGGCAGAAGACATGAATAGGCACCTTTCCAAGGAAGACATCCATAATAGACACATGAAAAGATGCTCAACATCACTCATCATTAGGAAAATACAAATGAAAACCACAATGAGATACCATACCTGTCAGTATGGCTAACATTAACAACTAAGGAACAAAAGTTGGTGAGGATGTGGAGAAAGGAGAAAAAATCAAATCAGTGGATGCCAGGGAGTTGGGAAGAAAAGGAGTTGAGTAATAACAGGTCACCCAAGGGAATTTTTATAGTAATAGTACTGCAGAGGTTTATGGCACTGAAGTGATGCATTCATCAAAACCTACATCTGTGTGCCACGTACAGAGAGAATGAAACTTATTCAAATAAAGAAAAAAAATCAAACGGTATAGATGTAATGCAGACTATGTTGAATGACTTTTTTTAAGATTTTTTTTAAGTTTATTCATTTTGAGAGAGAGAGAGAGAGAGAGAGAGAGAGACCACATGCACAGGAGAGGGATAGAGAGAATCCCAAGCAGGCTCTGTGCTGTTAGTGCAGAGCCTGATGCAAGACTGGAACTCAGGAACCCATGAGATTATGACCGGAGTGGAAACCAACTGTCAGATGCTTAACCACCCAGGCGCCCCCTAGTGACTGTTTTTACAACTGTATTTATCACATAACCTGAGTTTTAAAAGTGGGGGAAAAGGAGCTGACTTAAATAATTCCATAAAGCAACATTTTGACTGGATACATTAAGACCCAAAACAAAAAGAACTATACATAAACACTCTAGTTTAGTTGATAAATTCTCACAGGGGTTAGCAATTCTGAAACTATTTTACATGTATATTAGGGTAAAAAGAATAAACATATTGTAGATAATGGAAGCCAGGTATCTCTGTCTAACTATGAAGTTAAAGATAAGCAAGAAGTGGGTGGGAAGGCTAGAATGAACCCTGAGTTAGAATAAAAGGTATTAGTGTTAGCTCACTAATTTTCACATATGTAGTTACATGTATGTATACTGATAAAAGTAATATATGGATACTGTGATTCAAATTTCTAGCATGGAGTACAGACATGTATTACTTACCTGAGTCAGCTGACAGGGTCTAGAAACAATTTCACCCAGCACCAATTAGCACACCTGGAGCTCAGATCTCGATTTCTCCAATAAAAGGAACTATGGCTTCTTGGAGAAAGGCCTGAATCTAGGGCTGGGCGGGGAAAAATCAAGGAGCCTGGAGCATCTTGTGTGTCAAAAAGTAAGGAAGTGCTTTAAAAACCGTTATAAGGATTTGTTAAAAGGGCCCCAAAGCTAACCTGCAATAGCTCTCAATACCAAAGCTGGAACAATTTGAGCAATGTAATAACATAATAGCATTCGATGAAATGAAAAGAGTGGGGATAAAGGAGCCAATTTAAGAAAAGGAGCAAAAACACAAATGAATCTTAAATGGATTTTGCCAAGTGAAAAAGCCACACCCAGAAGATACATATTATGTAATTCTGTAGACATTCTGAAAAGAGTAAAATTATAAAATGTAAACCAGATCAAAGGGTTGGGTGGGAAAGGTGGGGCTGAGTAACAATGGTTGAGAGTAAAATACCTACGAGCCTGTACTGACAGAAATAAATGATGGAATAAATAAGTGGGGAAAATAAAAATTTTTCCTTTACAGACAATCTCAATACATACAGAAGAAGTACAATAGAAAAGTCACTATTTAGAACACCCCAGTAAACGTAGTTGCAGGCAAGAACCAGCAATGAAAACTTAATTAGTGGCCAAAACTAAATAGAAACAGTGTATTTGTATAGCCTCAGAGGGCCTCTCCTTAAATTTACTAATGAATATTTTAAACTATGACCAAAAATTCGAGATGGGGCTTTCTTCCTCTACCCCTGAGTGTGCACTGGAGTTAGCAACTCACTTTAAGTTTATTTGGGGGGTGGGCGGAGCCCACGCAAGTTCTGCACCATCAGTGCAGAGCTGATGCGAGGCTGGAACTCATGAACCTCAAGATCATGACCTGAAATCAAGAGTTGGATGTTTAATCTACTGAGCCACCTGGGTGCCGCATTAGGAACCCACTTTTTAAAAAGTTATTTATTTATTATGAGAGAGAAAGAGAACAAGCTGGGAAGGGCCAGAGAGAGAGGGAGAGAGAATCCCAAGCAGGCTTGCCCTGACAGCACAGAGCCTGATGCAGGTTTTGAGTTTAAAACCTGTGAGATCATGACCTGAGCTGAAACCAAGAGTCAGACACAACCCACTGCCTGGGACCCCCAGGGACCCCCAACCGACTTTTAAGTGTAGACTGAAAAGGGAAAAATCCTAACTATATAGTAGAGAAACTTGCCAGACACCACCTTAACTAAGTAATCAAGGTTAGTATGTCAAATCATGTTTACATCATGTGTAACCTGATATGCAGGTAGGGCACATCCTGTCAGGGGGAATCTTCCTACAAATATATAACTTTAGTCCAATCAGGAGAAAACATCAGACAAAGGTAAATTCAAGGACATCTTCACAATACCTGACCATTATTCTTCAGCCATCTGAAGGACATGAAAGAAAGACCAAAAAAACCAGAAACCAAAACCCAAAATACAAAAACCCTCAAGATTGGAGGGGGCAGTGCCTGACGATGACTCTACAGTGGTACCCTGCATTGGATCCTGGATCAGTAGGACATTAGTGGAAAAAACTGACGAAATCTGAATAAACTGTGTTGTTTAGTTTAGAGAATTGCACCCGAATTACTGTCTTAGTTTTGATGAAAGTACCATAGCTCTGTAAGAAGTTAACATTGGGGAAAGTTGGGTGAAGGGTATAGGGGAGGTACCGGGAAGATAGGGCGGTGCTTTCTTCGAGTTTGGTATATGAACACTTGAACTTTTTTTTTTTTTTTTTAGCATGAATACCGAATTGCTAGCTTGCTGCTTCTTTCATTTCAGAAGATAACCATGCTGGTCACAGATCCCACGTTCATAACTGAAATCCATGCACCTTTCCTTCTTTTGGCTTGTGCTAAAAGGCGCGCTGCTTTGCTGCAGACGTCGGGGGCACAGGCAGAATGCTGGTTCCAGGCAGAAGTGAGTATCTCAGATGATAAGGTTTGAACTCCGCAAACTCGGCAGCTCCTCTCCAGCTGATTTCTCATGGAGTGGGCAGGCGTACATCGGGAAAAGCATCTTGAGAGAGGTACTGAACAATTTAGGCAACGTCCTAAGGGCTTTTACAACGCAAACGCCTCCAAGTTTCACTAAAATTATGCTAGCTGGCTACTACTACTAGCTTTTACAACTTGGGAGTGAAGCACCGCTTCTAAGGATAGGAGCACGATCCCAGCCCAAGCTGCCAGGAGCCGAGCTCCAGCTCCCCGCCACCGCCGCCGCGCGGCTCCCTCCCTTTGCGCATGTGCATCCCCGCCTTCTCCTCCCGGCTCGTCCTTCCCCGGCCTCCAGCCCCTCGTGGGAAACCTTTCCTGGCTTCCGGGTCCACGCGGCGAGGGAGCTGCGGGTGAGCCCCGGAGGGAGGGGGCGAGGGCCCAAGGGGCCCCGCACGGCTCGGGGGGCAAACAGGGGCGACGCTGCCCAATGGCGGGCAGGAGCCCCGCGGGCATAGGAGGGACCCCAGGCGTCTGCGGCGCCTGCAGAGTGGAAGGGACGCGGGGCGAGGGGCGTCTCAGATAAAGGGACCGGGGTCCCGCGTGGGAACGTGGGCCCTCGGGTTTGCAGGGTTCGCAGGTGTCCAGCTCCACCGCTAAGCGGGCTGCACCGTCTGGCGGCCGCGGGTGGGGAGTGCGCGTGCGTGACGTGTGCGCTGGGCCCACGGGGAGGGGGTGAGGCTGCGGGAAAGAGTGAGCGCGCGTGCGCGACGTGCGTGCGCGCTGGACGTCGTGACGTGTGCGCGTGCGTCTTATCGGCGCCTGGCTACCTGAGGAGGGGCGCGGTTGTAAGAGAGAACGAGTGAGCCGGGCAGGGCTTCTGATGTAAATGAATTGCTCTGATCCAATAGCCGACGTGAGACTCGGTCTCCTTGTCTTTAAAGTGTGGATGTCAGGAATCTTGCCGCATTGCATTGTTCTGAGCTCTCGCATTTTGTTAGCTGCCATTGTATTTGTTTGTTACGTGTGTAATGACGTGCGGCTGGAGCTTGGACAAGTCTCTAGGGCCTTCATTGCTCAGTTAACTCACTTGTGCAATGGAACAGGGAAGGGGCTGGACTATCTAGCCCCCAGAGCCCTTTCCTGGCTCTACCGTTACCCAGATCCCAAGTTATTTATTATGTATTCATTTGTTATTTGTTATGTATAAGCATGTCTGTATCCTGAAGCCATCGAAGGCTGTGTGACGCTGGAAGGTCTGGGACAAATTTAAGAAGAGCGAGGTGAGCTGGAGCTGAGAGGGGTGGGCTCGCAGGCTGCACAGGAAATGTCTTCTCTTTGGAGAGTTTGTGAGGGCATGGTCGGGAATGAAGGGCTCACCAGCCACAGCTAAGGAGATTCTGTCATCACCTCTCCCTGAACACTCCCTTCTCCCCTCATTTTCTGTTCAATGTTTCCGGAGGCGAGCTCTCCTCAAACGATGTCCCATTGTTGATGTCATCTAGAAAGATGCCGAGGTTCCCGGCTTCCTGACCTTATAGAGGTACAAAATGGTAGTGCAGTGGGGTTATCTGTTTTGCCCTTATTTGAAAAGTGAAAAGACAAAAATTGAGCCTGAGAAGGTGACTGACTGAGCTGATGCACCTTGTTAGTGGCAGAACCACGATTAAAAGTTCGGTCTGCAGATTGCTGGGCCGCTGCCCAATGTGCCACCGCTAAGTCAAAGAGAGTTTCTTACCAAAAGACCTTTGGAAAGTCGTTAAGCAGGTTAGAACAAACATTAAACATTTTTTATCTTGTCTCAAACACCCCCATCTCTTTTTTTCAGAGGTTTCTTGGATTATCTGACCTCAAGGGATTAATAGTGTTAACAGGAAAACACTAACAATGTGGCTCAAGGTTTTTAATTTTTCCCCACCACATCGGGTTTTTTTTTGACAAATCCGTAGTGTTTCCTCCTTTAGGTTACTGTTCTATGTTAAACTCATCTTCTCATGTTTTTAATTTTTCTGTGTCACAGAACCTAAATTGGTAATAAATCAATAAGAAACAAATGTTTACATTCACTCAGTGAAAAGTATCATGTCTAAGCTCAACATATATCGGAGCCACACATGGACACGTAAGTATCTTGTATGTGGAGCTGTTGTGTAGGCAGGTAAATTCAGGAACTGCCAGGCAGGCCATGTCTCTCCTAACTTTCTTCTTCCTTCCTTATTCCCCTCAGCTCTGCCTCCTTCACTAAGAGCGGAAAATGAACAGATCTCAGGTGAGTTTGTTTGTTTGTTTGTTTCTGTATTCCCACTTTGTTTTAAAATGAGTTTTCTAAAGATTGTAAGGATTCATATTTTTAAAACGAAAAAGTAGAAGTGGGCAAGAATTACCATTGAGGGAAATATGTCAAGCGTAGCCAATTTTGAAGCACCTGGGTAGCTTAGTTGGTTAAGTGTCCAACTTCAGCTCAGGTCTTGATCTCACAGTTCATGGGTCCGAGCCCCACGTCGGGCTCTGTGCTGACAACTTGGAGCCTGGAGCCTGATTCTGATTCTGTGTCTCTCTCTCTCTCTGCCCCTCCTCTGCTCACATTCTGTCTCTCTCAAAAAAAAATAGACACACACAAAAAAAATTAAAGCAAGAGTAAATCAAGAGTAGCAAATTCAGAGTAGAGCAGTTAGCAAAATGAGATGCAGGACTTTTAATTTTACAGAGTTGTGCAGGTTGTAAGTTTTTCTCTGATTTTTCCAAGAACAACACCGAAATTGCCTATAATCATTTCTTGATAGACAGAGCACAGTGCCAGAAATGTGTGGATGCTCTCCTGAAGATGAAACGAGGAGGTTTGAGTAGACTGATCTTTCACGGTCCTGCTTGATCCAGGAATCAGACTTAGAAGATCTGGCGGAATGGAGGGACCACGCATCCTCCCAAATAACTCCACGAGTGTTGCGTCAGCTCATTTGTATTTCAAGCTTGAATAGCAGACCGTTCTGGCTTTGGTCTCTGCATTTCTCATTTATGTTTCTGCCTCACGAATGCATTCTTGCTCTTTTACCACCGCCACTCACCTGAACCAGTTCTGGAAAAGGCCACCAAAATGTAGTCATATCCAGTTTTTGTCTTTGTCCGACTGGACTGTCCCACGACATAAGCCTTAGTCCCTGCTGTGAAAGCCTCTTGTCTCTGACACCACCCTCCTAGCTCTCTTTTCCTAACTCGGATACATCTCTTTTCTGTCCCACGTGAAGTGGTCTTTTCCTTTTGCCCCAGATGTTGCCTATCCTTGGGTTTATTGTTTACCCAACTTTGGCTCACTTCTCTTTCTCTTCTCAGTCTCCCTTTTTTCCTGACTGGTTTACGTCTTTTTTTAAAATTAGTAATATATTATTACTATAATTTGAATTATATTTGAATTAGTAGTATATTAACATGGTTAAAGAGGTTAAGTGACAAAAAAGATATAAGTAAAAATTCAAACTCCCATCTTCTCTGTCCCTGATTCCCCCTCTAGGAAGTGTGACATTCATTTCTTATCTAAACTGAGACACTGTCACTGAGAATGGAAGAGGTGCCATGAACAGTTATGACAGGACAGCTGGCATATATTAGCACAGTTCCAGACAAACTGGAGTGTACGGTCACCCTACTGTAGATATCTATTCTTTCTAGTTTCATCTTTGTCCTCCTCGTTTCTTTATTCAGTTAAAAGATACTCTTGTATGCCCCCTCCTTTTATTTAGAAGGAAATCCAGCATCCTTAGGGCTTCTCAAACTCAGATGCCCCTGTACATCACTAACATTTTATTAAGATGCAGATTTTTATTTAGTGGATCTGGGTTTGGTTTAGTGGATCTGAGGCCCTGGGTTTTACATTTCTAAAAAGCCCTGGGTGAAGCTGAGCAACCTTTGAGTAGCAGGTCTCTACACTATTTTCCATTCTTCCTTTGCTTTATTTTCCGCACTTTTCTCAGCCTGTTGCAGAGATCTTACTGTAAAAAGAGCATGGATTGCTTCTTGTTACAACTGTGTAGTAATTCAAGTACATTGAAGTAATTACCACTGTGTAGTAATTCAAGTACATGTAGACATCCCATAGTTTATTAAACTCATTATCATTAGTTACTATTTCCAACCTTTTGCTACTGCAAACCATGTTTTAGTGAGTAATGTTGTACATAGAGGTTTTATTTTCTGTCAGATAAATTTCCCTGAAGTGGATTGCCAGGTCAAAGGGTGAATATAATTGATAAACTTGACCAGTTGGTGAGATTAGGGTATATTTCGTATTCTCCCCTCCTTTTTTTCTTTAGTGTCTAATTCTTTATATATTAAGGACACTAATCCTTGCCTATTACCTGAATTGCAAACTATAGTTTTCTGATATGTAATTTGCCTTTTGATAAGTGATTCTGGTGTTTTAGCCCCATGCAGGTGTTCTGTTTCAGGATACATTTCACTTAGTCATTTCCTTTGACTCCCCTTGGTTTATGACAGTTTCTCAGACTTTCCTTGTTTTTGAGAATCTTGACAGTTTTGAGGAGAAAATGCAGATGTTGTGTAGAATGTCCCTCAGTTGGGAACTGTCTGCTGTTGTTTTCCTGATTAGACTGAGGTTATGGGGTTTCTTGCAGGAAGACCACAGAGGTATAATGTTTTGGGCACATTTATATCAAGGGTAAGTGCTTTCAACGTGACTTATTACACTGATGTGTCACTGTTGATCACTTGGCTGAGGTAATATGACAAGTAGTGGTAAAGCTACTTTGTTTCCTGTTTTCATACTGTACTCTTTGCAAGGAAGTGGGGGGTTATGCTATGCCTCCTTTATGCTGAAGTATCTTTGTAAATTATCAGGAATTCTGGACAGGAGATTTGTCTATTTTCTCTTATTAATTTATTTATTATAGCAGTATGAATTCATGGCTAATTATTTTATATTTTGGTTATAGTCCAGTGCTGCCTTGTTCATTTTGCTGCTTAGGTTATTAAGATCATCTTCTATGAGTTCCTGTGTCTTTTACCATACCCCATAATCGTGTACTTATTCATTCCTTTCTGGTGGTAGATTTTCCAGGCTCGTCTTACATATTTCCTGCCCTAGAATTAGCTGTTTTTTGTTTTCTGTTTTTTCTAAATAACTCCTGTTCCTTTCATTGGAGCACAGTATTAGAAACCAAGATTGGGGGGACTAGGTGTGTCTGTTGCTAGTGGTGCCTCATTGTTGGTAAACCCTCCCAGCTAACTGACCAAGGAAACATATGTGTGTACTAACCCGTGCATGCACACAACTCTAAATATTTCAGTATGCAACCATCTATATTGTATATTCAGCCAAGTTTTAGTTCACACTGTTGCCTCCTGTTTAATCATTACAACATGGAACATTCTAACCTTCTTTCTTGTCTGTAATCTCCCATTCTAATAATGAGAATATGGCTAACATCAAATAGTTCAATTCCAGCATACATGTACATGATTTCAGAATTGTTAACCCATGGACTCTTGATTCTTCCAGGTTGGGGCCATTATGAATTAAGGTGCTAGAAATATTCATGTGTCAGTTTTAAGGAGACATAAGGTTTCAGACACCAGGGTGTGAAATGGCTGGGTCAGTTATGTGATGTATGTTGTAAGAAACTGCCAAGCCATTTTCACAAGGTGCCTTATCAGTTTGGATTCCTACCAGTTACAGATCAGAATCCTTGTTGTTCTGCATCTGGACCTGAAATTGGCATTGTCGTTACTGTGGATTTAACCATTCTAATAATGTGTCATGACATATCATTTTTGTGTGTTTTTTTGAAAAATGTTATTTAATTATTTTGAGAGAGAGAGAGAGAGGGAGAGCACTCATCTGAGCAGGGAAGGGACAGGAGAGAGAATTCCAAGCAGGCTGGGTGCTATCAGCACAGAGCTCAACTCAGGGTTGATCTCACCAACTGTGTGACTGGACCTGAGCCGAAGTCAAGACTCAAGGCGCTTAACTGACTGAGCTGCCCAGGCACCCCTTATTTTTGTTGTAATTTGCATTTTCTTACTGACAGGTGCTGTTGAGCATCTGTTAATATATTTATTTGCTATCATTATGTGTTTGGTGACATGTTTGTTCAGATCTTTTGCCCATTTTTCAATGGTTCATTTGTTTTCTTTAAGAGTTCTTTTGTATTTTTTGGATACAAATCCTTTAGTAGATATATGTGTTGCAAATATTTTCTCCTAGTCTGTGCCTTGTCCTTTCATTTTCTTAGAAAATGTCTTTTGCAGAGCAGATTTTATTTTTAATAATATCCAACCCATGTTTCCTGACTCCCCTCCCCCCCCCCCCCCCCGCCATGGAATGTGCTTTTTCTCTTATATCTAAAAACGCATCACCAAATCCAGGGAGACACAGAGATTTTTCTTTTATTCTGTATTTTATATTTTCTTCTAGAAGGTTTTGCACTTTACATTTAGATTTCTGATTCATCTTTTGTTAATATTTGTGTAAGGCGTAGCGTTTGTGTCTAGGTTCATTTCTTTTGCCTGGGTATTCAATTGACCACCACCATTTGTTGAGAACATCTTTTCTCCTTTTATGCCTTTGTTCCTTTGTCAAAAATCATTTGACTGTATTTTGGTGAATCTAATCCTGGACCCTCTGTTTGTTCCATTGACCTGTGTGTCTCTTTCAGCAATAACATACTGTTGTGGTTGCTTTTAGCTTTATACTATGTCTCGAGATCAGGTGATATGAATTCCCATTTTTCTTCTTCCACATTGTGTTGGCTATTCTAGATTCTTTGCCTTTCTATATAAACTTCAGAATCATTTTGTTAGTATCTGCAAAATAGCTGTTTTAAAGAAACTTTTATTTTATTATTTTTTAAAATTTTATTTTAGAGTGTGTGAGCTAGAGAGGGGCACAGAGTGAGAGGGACAGAAAGAGAGAGAATCACAAGCAGGGCTTGGGGCTCGATCCCCAGGCCTTGGGATTGTGACCTGAGCCAAAATCAGGAGTCAGACGCTCAACTGACTGAGCCACCTAGGTGCCCCAAAATAGCCAGGGTTTTTATTTGAATTGCATTGAATTTATAGATTAAGTTGGAAAGAATTGATATCTTAGCCATATTGAGTCTTCCTATTGGTGAATATGGAATATCTCTCCATTTATTTAGATCTCTGATTTCTTCCATCAGTTGTGTTTTTCTGCAAAATCTTGTACATACTGTGTTATATTTATACTTTAGTACTTTTTTTTTGGTGCTATTGTAAATGATATATTTTCATTTGAAA